TTTAGTAATGTCATTATGATTTTCTGTACATGAAGAGACCCGATATAATTGGAAAGTCTCTCCACACGTGATTATCTGAGTGTTTATGTAAACATTGGAAAGAAGACAAGTAGAGGCACGAGACACTTGCGAGACACTTGTTAGACACTTGTCAGACACTTGTCAGACATTTGTGTATCTTTATTGTGGGAACGTATCGCCAGTTAGTGGCTGTATGGATACAATACAGAGAGAGAGAAACGTAGGGAGATGTAAAGAGGGAGTCTGGGGTAATCCTTCTCTCAGCGTAGAAAAGTCTGACGTGTTCAGTCCATCAGCCTCTGACTGGCCAAACGTTTCCTCAGCAAAGACACCCAAGTGTTGCACATAAGAGTTCATGTATACATGAATAGTGGCATGATGCCAAAATTTTTAGCAACATAAGTTAGAACAAACTTGCAATATGCAGCTGTAGTGTTGCGTTCCTACCAAACATAAGATCCAAAGGAACATCATTCCTAAGAGACGATACAAAATGGCTGCCAGGGTTATGACACATGAGTTATCAAGAAAGGCTGAAATTTCAGTAAAAAAAAAAAAAACACTTTGCCTGATGGTTATTAGAAACTAAATATTTACAAATGGCAAACAGGATCATGGGGAAGTTGTATATGCTACATCTACTACGGTTTTTAGATGTACCATGTTACTCACTGAAGACGGGGAGCTACCAGCATGATTTTCGTCTTGTGCTGGAAAATGTGTTACAGTAAATCTCAACATTCATACGAATATTTTTGAAGTATCCACATAGATAAGCTCAGGGGAACACACATAAGAGAGACAAAGGCGGTGACACTGAGGTTTACCAGTATATCCCCCATCAGAGCTACGATATCCACCATTCCAGAGTAATTTTCACCACAGCCTGGATAATGTTACTCTATCCTCTCATTTAAACTTCAAGTCCAATTTGACGGATTTCGTAAGTATTTTTGGCATTTCTGTAACCGTTTTGAGAAACTATGCCTTTCCCATATAGTTTCGACAATGGGTGGGGCCACTAGTGGGACGGGAGGGAGCGCTGGCCCACCATATCTTGATAGCTGTGGGTGGCACCCTAACCCACACTGGTGACGTCACGGCCGTAGCGACCTCTGAGTGGCTGAGGTGAAAAGGTCTATCGATCCCACGACCTCTACTGCAATGCTGACGATCCCGATCAATGATTTAGCCGTAATATTACTGTTGTTGGTAAACGCTGGTTGGTGTAACACAGAGACGAGGCAAGTGGGAGAGGTGGGTAGCTGAGTGCTGGCCTGTGTGCCACTCAGGAGAAGTTCAACACCTCCAGATGGTATATGCAAATGAGTAGGCTATTCGACAACCTTCACCCTCGCATGCCTATTGCTGGGCTCGACCTTTGGGGCCAATTAGTAGGCAACAAAATGGCCGACCAAGAAAACGCCATGATTTTTATGTGCCGCGTCCAATATTATATATATATATTATATATTATATATATATAATATATATTATATATATATATATATATATATATAAATATATATATATATATATATATATATATATTATATAAAGGTAACTTATGAGAGGTTTTTACAAAGCAGAAGTGTTATAAGAAGAGCAGAGTATATGGAGAGTAAAAGAAAGGTAAAGAGAGGTGGGTGGAGAGAGTGCAAAAGGAGGCAGATGATAGAGGTGGGAGAGGCACTGTCAAGAAATTTTAATGAAAATAAGAAAATTTTTGGAGTGAGTTAAACAAGTTAAGAAAGCCTAGGGAAAGTATGGATTTGTCAGTTAAAAACAGAGTAGGGGAGTTAGTAGATGGGAGAGAGGGAGGTATTAGGTAGATGGCGAGAATATTTTGAGGAACTTTTAAATGTTAAGGAAGAAACAGAGGCAGTAATTTCATGCACTGGTCAGGGAGGTATACCATCTTTTAGGAGTGAAGAAGAGCAGAATGTAAGTGTGGGTGGAGGTACGTGAGGCATTACGTAAAATGAAAGGGGGGTAAAGCAGCTGGAACTGATGGATCATGACAGAAATGTTAAAAGCAGGGGGGGATATAGTGTTGGAGTGGTTGGTACTTTTGTTTAATAAATGTATGAAAGAGGGGAAGGTACCTAGGATTGGCGGAGAGCATGTTATAGTCCCTTTATATAAAAGGGAAAGGGGACAAAAGAGACTGTAAAAATTATAGAGGAATAAGTTTACTGAGTATACCAGGAAAAGTGTACGGAAGGGTTACAATTGAAAGAATTAGAGGTAAGACAGAATGTAGGATTGCGGATGAGCAAGGAGGTTTCAGAGTGGGTAGGGGATGTGTAGATCAAGTGTTTACATTGAAGCATATATGTGAACAGTGTTTAGATAAAGGTAGGGAAGTTTTTATTGCATTTATGGATTTAGAAAAGGCATATGATAGAGTGGATAGGGGAACAATTGGCAGATGTTGCAAGTATATGGAATAGGTGGTAATTTAAATTAAATGCTGTAAAGAGTTTTTATGAGGATAGTGAGGCTCAGGTTAGGGTGGTAGAAGAGAGGAGAATACTTCCCGGTAAAAGTAGGTCTTAGACAGGGATGTGTAATTCACCATGGTTTTTTAATATATTTATAGATAGGGTTGTAAAGGAAGTAAATGCTAAGGGTGTTCGGGAGAGGGGTGGGATTAAATTTTGGGGAAATTAAATTCAAAATGGGAATTGACACAGTTTTCTTTTTGCTGATGATACTGTGCTTATGGGGGATTCTAAAGAAAAATTGCAAAGGTTAGTGGATGAGTTTGGGAATGTGTGTAAAGGTAGAAAGTTGAAAGTGAACATAGAAAAGAGTAAGGTGATGAGGGTGTCAAATGATTAGATAAGAAAAATTGGATATCAAATTGGGGAGGAGGATATGGAAGAATGAATTTTTTACAGATACTTGGGAGTTGACGTGTCGGCGGATGGATTTATGAAGGATGAGTTAATCATAGAATTGATGAGGAAAAAAGGTGAGTGGTGCGTTTAGGTTATGTGGAGTCAAAAAACGTTATCTATGGAGGCAAGAAGGGAATGTAATGAAAGTAATAGTAGTACCAACACTCTTATAGGGTGTGAAGCTTGGGTGGTAAATGCAGCACGAGGAGACGGTTGGAGGCAGTGGAGATGTCCTGTCTAAAGGGGAATGTGTGGGGGTAAATATTATGCAGAAAATTCGGAGTGTGGAAATTAGGAAAAGGTGTGGAGTTAATAAAAGTAAATTTGTCAGAGGGGAGAAGAGGGGGTTTTTGAGGTGGTTTGGTCATTAGAGAGAATGGAACAAAGTTTAAATGACATGGAAAGCATAAAATCTATAGGGGAAGAAGACGGGGTAGGGGTCGTCCTCGAAAGGGTTGGAGAGAGGGGGTAAAAGAGGTTTGTGGGCAAGGGGCTTGGACTTCCAGCAAGCGTGTGTGAGCGTGTTAGATAGGAGTGAATTGAGACGAATGGTACTTTGGGGCCTGACGATCTGTTGGAGTTTGAGCAGGGTAATATTTAGTGAAGGGATTCAGGGGAAACCGGTTATTTTCATAAAGTCGGACTTGAGTCCTGGAAATGGGAAGTACAATGCCTGCACTTAAAGGAGGGGTTTGGGATATTGGCATTTTTGGAGGATATGTTTGTGTATCTTTAATGTGTATGCTTCTAAGCTGTTGTATTCTAACCACCTCTGCAAAAACAGTGATAATGTGCGAGTGTGGGGAAAGTGTTTGAATGATGATGAAAGTATTTCTTTTTGGGGATTTTCTTTCTTTTTTGGTAAACCCCGCCTCGGTGGGAGACGGCCGACTTGTTGAAATATAAAAAATATATAATATAATAAATATATATATATAATATATATAAATATATATATATAATAATATATATATAATTGGTCTTTTTGGTAGCTTTGAAGCACATGCGTGAATGTGTTGGAAACACGCTTACATATGTTGGGAGCACATGCTTACATGTGTTAGCAATACATGCCTACAGATGTTGGCAGCACATTTTTATGATATTTTAATGTCTTTGTATACCAACACCTTTAGCAACGGCTGAGGAATTCACGGACCAGATAAGTACGAAAAGCCCACACTAAATAATATTCTCTGCGAAGATTTCAACCTCCCAAATATGAAATGGAATATGGTAAATCACAAAGTTGTACCAGAGAAAGTTCCTGGGGTCATGAAGACGCGTTGTACCAGAGTTCCTGGGGTCATGAAGACGCGTTGTACCAGAGTTCCTGGGGTCATGAAGACGCGTTGTACCAAGATTTCCTGGGGTCATGAAGACGCGTTGTACCAGAGTTCCTGGGGTCATGAAGACGCGATGTACCAGAGAGATTTCCTGGGGTCATAAAGACGAGTTGTACCAGAGAGAGTTCCTGGGGTCATGAAGACGCGTTGTACCAGAGAGAGTTCCTGGGACCAATGAAGGGCAGTTTGTACCAGAGAGAGTTCCTGAGTCATGAAGGCTGCGTAGTCACCCTGCTCCCATCATCAGAAATACATTAACCTACAATAGGGTTTAAGTTAACTCTCACATTTATAACGCTGAAGACATTTTGGCAGGTAGTATACCATTTTTCTTCAAGTACCTACGGGTAGTAGATGTTTCCTCTAGCTCCTAGATGGGTAGCCTCAACATACTAGTTATCACGCGCTGTTTAAAAACACCAGGGAATAACAATATTCCCTTCTTGTATGAATAAAACATAGGTGTGTATTTCCACATGTAATGCTTTACCCAACTTTATTAACGCAACACGCGATCATTTCTAACACTTATAGATAATTTCAATGGTATTTTTAAATAACATTTTTTTAGCCATTGTGAAATTGTGAAAGGTAGTCAGCGTGGGATACTGACACTTCATTTTATGCCTCGTCAAACGTCCTCACTGGAGGCAGTTTCGTCATCTCCTCACAGGAGGCCCGTATCAAACCGGGCAATTTTCTCATATAAGGAATATATTGGGCCCAATAGCCATCCGTGCACTTGGCCAGCAATAACTGTAAGTAACAGCGTATATACTCTAAGACGATAGCCTAAGCCGACAAGTGGTAATTTTAAACCATCTTTGAAATTACCATTCTACAAGTACCAGTGTAACTTTTTTTTTTGTGAAGTCATCCATGCGCTTGACCGGGAATGACAGAGAATAATCTTTTATTATACATTTGTATAGTTTGCGTTATAATTATATTATTCTTTTTTTTAAACTTTGCCTCATTGATATTCGCTTTATATTCATCAGATAAAACATTTGAGCCAAGCTGTGCTCGCTGCCTAATTTTTAATCTTGTGGAACTTGTGTTGGTATGTTGGATTAATGAATTTTCTGAGAGGAGTTATATTGGGCGTGTTGGTTGTTATCGTGTGATAGTAATGTGAGTAGATTGAAATGACACTATAAATACAAGCGAGGTCAGAGGCTCGCCTTGCGTCTATCACTCTCGGAATAACTTGCTTCTCTTCTGGTAGCTACGTTCTCTCTGCAAAATATAATTAAGAGGGGGAATTGTGAGAGAAAACCGTGCTTTCCGCGTTGAGGAGTTAGCTTTCTAGAGAAGACCGTACGGGTTTTTTTTTTTTAGTTCACTCCAGTAAAGACGGTCGTCTGGGAACGTACTTGCTTGGACATCATCCTCTTTTCTGCAATTTTGCAAGCTCCTGATGTGTTAATTGCAACACAAAAGGCCTACTCCTCCTGTGGGGGAGTAGAATGATCCATACCACGGGCGGGATTTGAACCCGCGGTCAGAGTCTCAAAACTCCAGACCGCAGGTTCAAATCCCGCCCGTGGTATGGTTTGTTTGCAATTGTGTCATTACGATTTCGTGAGTCAAGTAGAATGATATGTAATACCACACACACACACACACACACACACACACACACACACACACACACACACACACACACACACACACACACACACACACACACACACACACACATACACCAACCTCCCTTACACCCCTACACTTACCTCAGTTTGGTCGTTTACACACACAGCGATGCAAATTCATACACATACGGAAATCTAAAGTGAAGTAATTCTGACTATTATTACATTATCTAAAGAGCAAGAATTCTGTATTCCATTACTATTCAACAATTTTTCATCGTAAAATTTTACCAATGATAATTCCTAGTGCAATAAGAACGGGAGGAATGAGAAGCATACCTGAGGGAGCTACGATATTACAGAACATTACCTCAGCTAGTGACCTCTTCATCAACACATACAAACATACCACCTCCCACAGTCTGAATGTTTAATACTACGCTCTCCTTGCTTCTCTGTGTGTGTGTGTTTTAATTACGTAAAGTATTTGTTTACAACCAGCAGGTGACGGTGGTCGATAATGCTTTGGATGTACAGGGTGAAGTACGGTTTTTTAAAAAACGTGTTACGGTGCATTTTAAAAGTAATTTTTTGTGCTTTGTACGTCTGGCAGTAGTGAGGTAAGGGGCCAGCGCCCCCCTCTCAGTGCCGCGTGTGAGAGATACTTCCAGAGCGGGCAAGTGGCACTACTGCCGACCTGTGGTGCGCCGGCGTCGCTCTTGGGGTGCCACAAGCCAAGCCACCCGGGCTTATTCTCTCTCTCTCTCTCTCTCTGAAATATTTAGTAAGGAAGAGAGGAGGACGAGGAGGTTAACCCGTCCCCCCTGACCAACACCAGCCAGGGTAACACCACCACGCAAGAGGAACCTTTCCTTCCTAGGATCAAACCAGATTATCTTTCGCTTCCCAGACGTTGCATGATTATTACGGGTTTAGAGCCTCCACATGATAATTAGTAATAATAATAAATGCATTGCTTCTTTTCAGTAAACAACTGAACTTCAGTATAATTATAGAAAACGTGTGTAATTATGGATAGTAATTATAGAAGATATAGGTAATTGAGATAATTATAAGTAATTATGGAGGATATACATAATTTATATAATTATAGGAGATGTAAGCAATTATAGATATCGGTCATTATAGAAGATATAGGTAAATATGAGACGGCTAATTATAGGAGACCTGCATGTACTTATAGATATCGGCAATTACTGGTGATAATTATATAATTATAGGGGGAATACGACCCTAAATTTCAATCCTTTAGACCCTTCTGTGACTTCGGGAAGGTTGTGGTGAGGGAGGGAAGGGGTCCCACCTTGATGGTAGTGAAGGGGACTTGATCTGAGGAATTAGAGGGGTAGCTCAAGTTCCTTGGATCAAGAGCCATTCACTAGCCTCAAGGGTGGGGGGTCGGTGGTTATAGAGTTTACATACAAAAATATTTCACGTTGGCTAGTATTCAGTTATAGTTTAATATTCCTCATTTTAATGACACGTTTCGCCCAAGGATGGGCCAGATCATACTTCGATGAAGTCCAGTCTTTGAGCGAAACGACTTTTATTTCTACTTGATGGTTTTTGGCCATTGTTTACCGCGTTTAACACAGTCTGCTTCGTTCATCGCGGGATTTGGTTCGCTTAACGAAAACCCGGATTCGCTTAACGCAGGCCGTGGCTCGCTTAACGCAGGTCCTGGTTCATATACCACAGGACATGACCCACTGAGCCCTAGCAGTGGCTCGTTAAACACTGGAGCATGCTCGTTTAACAAAGGACGAGCCTCGCTTAAATATAGGGTCTGGCTAGCTTCCTCGTTCCAGTACTGAATCACCAACTCCGCTTTAGTCCCCCCTCCTCTCTCTCTCTCTCTCTCTCCTCTCTCTCTCTCTCTCTCTCTCTCTCTCGAGCTTTAAAGAGTTACTAGGTAAGAGCTCCTTCACTTCATTTTACTTTTTAAGAGCTATTATCCTGCCTTAGGTTAATTTACTTGTTAATAGCTAAGTGGCCCGAATAACTAGTTTCAATTAATCTTAGATATTACCATTATCAGACTTCAACAGTATATCAGATCACAAATCATTTTCCATTCGCTTCAGTGCGACATTCTGACGCATACGTGAAGGATGCTCAAGCCCACTTCTATCTAAACCTCCTTCACACCTCCCCGGGAAGTCCACTGCACCTGTTCCCATCTACTGCAGATTAAAACACCCTTTTCACCTTGCCAAGATCTCAAACAACCTCTACTTTCCCCCCTCCCCCCAACCCGCATTTCCAGGTTTTGAAGATTTTGCCGAGCAAAACCCTCTAAAAACCCCCGGGGTTCTATTCACACAATCTTTAATTTACAAAAATTTCCCCAACTTCCGGTACACGATTGGCCCTTTTCCCTGTTTTTTGTATTCTTTTTACTCTCATTCTCCACGTACCAACTTACCGGTAGTAAAAGACATGCTACCTGACTTAGAAATAAACAACCTCCTCGCCATCCAAAACCTTTCGTACACTCCTACTCAAACCTGGAGTTTACCTGGGGGGATTTTTCGGGGTTAATGCCCCCGCGCCCGCTGTAACCACCCTCCGGGTGGATACCCTGATAACCGGGGCGTTGCGCTGGCTCACGCAAACCAACGTACACCACAGCCCGGCTGATCAGGAACTGACTTTAGTGCTTGTCTTTAAACCCCCGGTTTTTTAATTCCACTACATCTGCGGATATTTAATCACCCCAACTTTTTATTTTGAAAAAAAGGGGACAGCACCGTTAATCCCCTTCCGTCGCCAGGACAACGAAAATCTTAGTTTTTTTCCCGAAAAACTAGAAAGCAACGTTTTCTAAGAACTAAAAAAGAGCATAAGGGAAACAAGGGTAATTTTTTTTTTTACACAGGGTTTACAAGGTTTTTGGGTCCCCAGTTTTATTGACAAGCATTTACAGTTAAGGGTTCCTAACTTTTTTGGCAACTAAGAGCTGTTACCTACACACTCATTTGAAAGCTGTATTTGAAATAAAACCAGAGAAAAGAACGAAATATACGATTTATATAGAAAAAAATAAGGATACGAACAAGGTCCTGCAGTAACATGAGTCTACACTGTAGCCACTCACCACGGTGATTTACTGTGGCAGAAATATATCACTGTGACACTGTGACTCTTATACAGTGCGAGACGCTGCACCTCTATACACCTTTTTTTTCTCATAGAATTATTTCATTACTCTAAAACTGAATCAATTACATAATTCTATGGTTTACCATATGTTTAATATATATATATATATATATAAAATATTATATATATATATATATATAATAAATAATATATATATATATATAAATATATAAAATAATCATTATCGTGATAATAATGCGTTAGAGGTTCACTTTATCAATTACGGGAAAGTCAGCCCCACTAATTAATGCTTCTGGAAATGAAGAAATAATAAAATTGGTGGAGGAAAGAGAAGAGTTTTGTCAGCATCATAAACATGCCCACTTCGGAGGCAGCTAAAAGGATCAGTGATAAAAATCCCTCTCGCTGGAAGAGTCACAAGCCGCCCAGCACCAGCGTACCACTATGACCCTTGATCATCCCCGACGCAAGGACGAACCCTGAGTGCCTGAACCCCCAGAGTCCTCTCCTTTACGAACTGGCAGGGCAAAAAATCATCCGGAATCATTAGTGTCACTCCACCTCCTGGGATGCAGGCAGTTTTGCTCCTTGGGTAACTAGCTGGTAGTGGCACTAGTGGCGTGCTCTCAGAGGTGAACTTGCGCCTGTATAGCGGAGTGCGGGCAGTGACCATAAGTTTAGCCACAGAACTGCGTGTCATTCTCAGTGGTGTAGGAGCCAACTTACCCGCGCTCCAAGATCAACATTTTAGGGGTTTTAAGGGAAGCCCCGAGTTCTTGCTGGGGCCGCTAGCACTGCTACACCCTCATCCTGGGGGCTTAGCTTTGTCTTAGTGCTGTTTATGGTGGCGGAGGAGGTGGTGTGGCTGCGCTCCTTCGTCTTATGTGCGTGTTTGGCGTGTTCTCAACACATTTTTTTTCTTTTTTTTTTATCCTGGTGTGTGTATGGCTGCGAGTGGAGAGAAGTGCATGTTTGACACACTTGCAGCATGCTAGAGTGCCAGTACAAGAACCTTATGAATGCCTGGACGTCTGTTCTTGCATGGTTTTGTGTGTGTGTGTGTGTGTGTGTGTGTGTGTGTGTGTGTGTGTGTGGGTGTGTGTACTCGCCTATTTATGGTTGCAGGGGTCGAGACATAGCTTCTGGCCCCAACACTTCACTGATCGCTACTAGGTCCTCTTTCCCTGCTCCGTGAGCTTTATCATACCTCGTCTTAAAACTATGGTCTCCTGCCTCCAGTACCCCACTTGCCAGACTATTCCACTTCCTGACAACTCTAAGGAAATACTTCCTAACATCTCTTTGACTCGTCTGAGTTTTCGGCTTCCAATTCTGACCCCATGGTTCTGTGTCCCATCTCTGGAACATACTGTCTGTCCACTTTGTCAATTCCTCGCAATATTTTGTATGTCATTATCATGTCTCCCCTAACCCCCTGTCCTCCAGTGTCGTCAGGCCGATTTCCTTTAACCTTTCTTCGTAGGATATTCCCTTTAGCTCTGGAACTATCCTTGTTACATATATTTGCACTTTCTTGACGTGTGGGTTCCAAACTAGTGCTGCGTACTCCAGTATGAGCCTGATGTACACGGTGTACGGAGTCTTGAACGATTCCTTACTGAGGTATCGGAACGCTCTTCTCAGGTTTGCCATGCGCCCATATGCTGCAGCAGTTAGCTGGTTGACGTGCGCCTCAGATGTGCTCGGTATTATACTAGCTCCAAGATCCTTTTCCTTCAGTGAGGTTTACAGCCTTTGGCCACCTAGCCTATACTCTGTCTGCGACCTTCTTTGCCCTTCCCCGATCTTCATGACCTTTGCATTTGGCGGGGTTAAATTCGAGGAGCCAGTCGCTGGACCAAGCTTCCAGCCTGTCCAGGGCTCTTTGTAGTCCTGCCTGATCTTCATCCGATTTAATTCTCATTAACTTCACATCTTCCGCAAACAGGGTCACTTCTGAGTCTATCCCTTCCGTCATGTCTTTCACATATACCAAAAATAGCATTGGTCCTAGGACTGACCCCTATGGAACCCCACTTGTCACAGACGCCCACTCTGATACCTTGTCATGTACCATGACTTAATTGCCTCACTGTCAGATATTCTCTTATCCAGTGCAGTGCCCTTCCTGTTATATGTGCCTGATCCTCTAGCTTTTGCAATAATCTCTTGTTAGGAACTGTGTCGAAAGCCTTCTTTCAGTCCAAGAAAATGCAATCTACCCACCCCTCTCTCTCGTGTCTTCCGTTACCTTGTCATAAAACTCCAATAGGTTTGTGACACAGGATTTGTCTTCCATGAATCGTGCTGGTTGTCGTTTATACACTTGTTCCGTTCTAGGTGCTCCACCACTCTCTTCCTGATAATCTTCTCCATGACTTTGTATACTATACACGTCAGTGACGCTGGTCTGTAGCTTAGTGTCTCGTGTCTGTCTCCTTACTTAAAAATGGGGACTACATTTGCCATCTTCCATTCCTCAGGTAGTTGCCCAGTTTCAATGGATGTGTTGAAAATTGTTGTTAGTGGCACACACACACAGCATCTCTGCTCCCTCTCTAAGGACACACGGAGAGATGTTGTCCGGTCCCGCCGCCTTTGAGGTATCAAGATCACTAAGCAGCTTCTTCACCTCTCTGGGTGTGTATATCCTTTGTTGGTGTACCCCCCCCCCCTCTGTTCTGACTTCTCCACTGTAAATACTTCCTTAAATCTCATGTTGAGTTCCTCACATAATTCTTTGTCGTTTCTTGTGAGCTCCCCATCTTTCCTCAGCCTGATTACCTGGTCCTTAACTGTTGTCTTCCTCCTGATGTGGCTACACAACAGCGTCAGGTCAGACTTGACTTTCGATGCTTTGTCGTTTTCGTACTGTCGCTGGGCCTCCCTCTTTATCTGTGCATACTCGTTTCTGGCTCTTCGACTAATCTCTCTCTGTTTTCCTGGGTCCTTTGTCTTCTGTACTTTTTCCATTCTCTAGTGCACTTAGTTTTTGCCTCCCTACTCATTTGGGTAAACGAAGGGCTCGTTCTGGTCTTCCCATTATTTCTGTTGCTCATGGGAACAAACCTTCCCTCTGCCTCCTTGCATTTTGTTGTTACGTAGTCCATTTCATTTACCGACTTTCCTACCAATTCTCGTTCCCACTGAACCTCTCACAGGAAGTTCCTCATACATGTGTAATCCCCCCCCCCCTTTGTAGTTTGGCTTTTCCCATCCTATTCATTTTACTCTCTCTACTTGGAACTCTATTTGCATTCAAAGCTCAGAACCACGTGATCACTAGCTCCAAGGGGCCTTTCATATGTGATGTCAACGTCCGAGCTACTCAGGTTGAACGCGAGGTCCAGTCTTCCTGGTTCATCCTCACCTCTCTCTCTGGTAGTGTCCCTAACATGTTGATGCACGAGGTTTTTCCAATACTACATCCATCCTTCATCTTGGCTTTCCATGTTTCGGGACCCCCATATGGCTCCAGCTTTTCCCAATCATTTTCCATGTGATTGAAATCGTCCATAACTAGTAACTTTGCTCCACCCGTGTGAGCTCTTCTGGGTACCTCAGCCAGTGTCCACCATTGTTCTCTTGCTCTCTTCATATTCTTCTCTTGGCCTCCTGCAGTTCTATGGCAGCTTATACGTCACTGCAATGACTACCTTATGTCCCGCAGACTGAACTGTACCTGTGTGTGTGTGTGTGTGTGTGTGTGTGTGTGTGTGTGTGTGTGTGTGTGTGTGTACTGCGCTCATCTATTTGTAATGTCCTATTTCTGGTTGCAGGGGTCGAGGTCTCAGCTCTTGGTCCTGCCTCTAACATGCCGCTTGCCAAACTTTCATCATCTTGGCCTCTTATGGAGCCTGCCTCCAGTGCTTCTAATCCACTTCCTGACAACTCGGAGGCTGAAGAAATACTTTGTGACATCCGTTTGACTTCCTACTGTGCCCCTCTTGTTCCATATTTCCCGCTTCTCAAACAGTCTGTCCCTTTCCACCATACTAAGTCCTGTAAGTATTTTGTATGCAATTATCAAGTCTACCCTGGTTCTATTCTGTTATATCCCTAAGCACTGAGACTAGTCTCGTTACATATCTCTGGACTTTATCCAGTTTCTTAATGTACTTCATCAGGTGGGGGCTCCAAGCTGGTGATTCATACTCTAAGATGCTCCTGACATATATGATTCACTGCCCTGTATACGTCATTTTGTTATTCTTGAGAGCTACTCTTAAATTATTCATTCTTAAAGGCAACAAATTACAACACAAAAAAAAGAGTTGATGAGAATAACACAGTGGAGACGAGGACAAGTGAGCCAACAATACCATCAGAAAGGTGCTGTAGTGACTCATTTGTAATTACACGAGAATTTACATGACCGTTTTCTACTGCATATTTCCCTATTCAGTTTATGCTTTGCCTTTTTACCCGCCTTTTCCAGTGTTCTAAATCTCCTATGTAGCGCTGCATCCAAAGTCTTCTTGAAGTCTAGGAACATGCAGTCCACCCGTCCCTCTTTCCTAACTGAAGTACCTCTGTTAAGAAATAATTTATCTCAAAAAAGAGGTTAGTTAAGCATAACCTTCATTTCTGAGGTCATCCTTGAGTAACTTAGTACTCTTCTATATATTCAAATGTCTCGATTTTTTTCCAATAATTTACATGTTACGCTTGTTAGAAACATGAGTCTTTGGTTGAGGTCTTCCTGCCTCTCACCTTCTTGCTTGAATATTACCAAAAGTTATAATAATCAAGGAAGAAGGTGAGAGGAAGGAAGTGCAAAACTACAGACCAGCGTCAGTAGCAAGCGTCGCTTGCAAATTATTTGAAAAATAAATCCAGAAGACATTTCAACAATAGTTTTCTGTTTCTTGAAGAGGATGACTTTAGAAGTGAAGGCTGTACACAACTAATGTCTAAGAAATAGTGTTAAAGATCAGAGTGCCTTGAAAAGTTCTTCTGATCCTCTTAAAATTCGTGTTGTTCCATCTGGGTCTGCTGTCTTGGGTACCAACTACCATCACGACCCTCGCCGCCTCTTGAGTCGTTTCAGTAATTGATTGTCCTATTTTATTTATCTCATCTATTACTCTTTTGTTCGTTTGTGGAAACATAAATCTGAATTCACAAACACAATGAGTAACCGCATGTTGCTATCAACAGTAACAAAACCTACAAGAGTTACGGAGACTAGTGTTTCCCTACTTGACCACATCTGGACCAACACCATATCCCCTTTAAAATCAGGCATAATTACAGATAATACCACAGACCACTACCCTACTTTCCTCATAACTCTTGGTAAAATACCCCAAGACACTACTGAAGTCACCTTCAGACTTCACAATGAGGCAGCCATTAATAACTTAACAGCAGTAACAAACATTGACTGGCACACTGAGCTAGAAATCTATACAGATATTGACGAATGTTTTAATAATTTTCTGAAAAAGACCCAATACCTCTATAACAAGCACTGCCCTAAAAAAACTAAACAGATGACAGCTAAGAGACTAAATAGTCCCTGGCTAACACCCAGCATTCTCAAATCCATAAATACAAAACACCGATATGAAAAACAGTACAGAATGGGTCACATAACCAGAGACCAAACAAAACGTTACTCGTCAATCCTAACCAGCTTGATAAGAAGGGCAAAAAAATTGTATTATAAGAACAGATTATCCAACTTACGAGGTGATATAAAAAAGACCTGGAAGATCCTATCAGAAATTCTGGGAACAAAAAAGATATCACGAAATAGCGAAATAAAATTAGCAAAATCAGATGAACCCCAACTCCCACCAACAGAAACAGCAAACACTCATGATTTTCTTCTCCACTATAGGACAAAACCTTGCCAATAAAATCCCAAGCTCAGATACCCCACCAAATGACTACCTCACTGGCAACTACCCGAACACACTGTTCCTAGCTCCGACTAACCCATACGAAGTCTCCCTTATTATCAACGCACTAAAAAACAAGGCAGGAGATTTAAATACCTTACCACCCTTATATACAAAAAAGTGTCACAAGTACTATCACCAATCATTGCAACACTCTTTAACAAATCCATTGAATCCTCCACCTTCCCTACAGCTCTCAAAATAGCAAGGGTCACCCCGATCCATAAAGGAGGAGACCAAACAGAGTTGAATAACTATAGGCCAATATCCAATTTACACCCTCAAAAATCTTCGAAAAATTAATTCATAAACGAATCTACTCCTACCTCATCTCCCAAAACATTCTCAACCCCTGCCAATTTGGATTCAGGCCTAATAAAAATACTAATGATGCTATTATACACATGCTAGAACATATATACACTGCAATAGAGAAAAAAGAAGTCCCACTGGGGATCTTCATTGACTTACGTAAAGCTTTTGATACAGTTGACGATGACTTGCTCCACGTAAAATTGTCACACTATGGTATTAGAGGGCACTCCCTCAACTACCTCAAGTCATACCTCAGCAACAGAAGCCAATATGTGTACGCAAATGGGGCAAGCTCTTCCGCACAACCAATTACAGTTGGTGTCCCACAGGGAAGTGTCCTTGGCCCTCTTCTCTTTCTCCTATACATAAATGACCTACCAAATGCTTCGCAATTACTCAAACCCACACTTTTTGCAGATGACACTACATACGTCTTCTCTCGCCAGAGCCCAGTCACGCTAGCCAATACTGTAAATACCGAATTACAGAAAATATCTACCTGGATGAGGACTAACAAACTTACACTAAACATTGACAAAACCTACTTCATTCAGTTTGGTAAGCAGAGCTACAGATGTACCTCTTAACATAACGATAAACGGATCACCATATCACAAAGCTAACAGAGGGAAAATTCTTAGGAATCCACCTTGATAATAGACTCAAATTTCATACACATATATAACAAATTTCTAAGAAAATTTCCAAGACTGTAGGCATACTATCGAAGATACGGTACTATGTTCCACAGTCAGCCCTCCTGGCCCTATATCACTCTCTTATTTACCCCTATCTCACCTATGGAATTTGTGCATGGGGCTCAACAACAATTAACCATCTCAGACCACTAATTACCCAACAAAAGGCTGCAGTTAGAATGATAAATTCTCACTACAGGCAGCACACTCCACCAATATTCAACACACTAAACCTACTCACCATACAAAACATCCATACTTATTACTGCACCTATTACATACATAGAACACTTAACTCTGATATTAACCCTCCCCTCAAACATCTCCTTGCCAACCTCAACAAAACACATGACCATAACACAAGGCACAGATCACTCTTTTGATGTTCCTCGTGTCCATCTCACGCTATGCAAAAACTCAATGCACATAAAAGGCCCTAAAACTGGAATTCATTACCTGTAAATATAAAAGAAACACTACCTGTTTATAAATTCAAGTCTCTTCTCAAAGATCACTTACTCACTCAAAACCAAATAAATACTGAATAACTGAACCTTATAAATTGTATATCTTAAATGTTTCTCACAATTATATCACACAAATGTTAAACCTAGGACCCAATCTAACTTTTTTTTAAATACACTACCTAACAGAATACTCCATTCTACTGAATGTACAACAATGCATGCAACCATATGACCTGTCTTTGTAATACTCATTTGTGCTTTGTTTATCTGTTTACAATTAATGTTTTATCACTGATTACATCATTGCTTAGTTAATTTTAAGTTAATTTTAAGCCAGCCCGTAATGCTATGCATATAAGTGGCTTTGGCATGCTGCTCTTACCTGTATTTTTTTGTACCTCTGTATGTATGTTAAAATTACTAAATAAATAAGTAAATAAATAAAAGATGTATTTCGGTCGCTGCACGATGCAAGAAAAACATCCCAGTATTGCACAACCCCAGTCCCCTGTACCTCAATCCGTGAGAAAGGAATAGTGCAGAGTGCCGTATAATTTTCTAATGCATTTGAGTATTAGCACTAAGATCCGAAGCAGAACAGAAAAGGCAAGCACAAGCTTTCCCAGGGCAACTAATCTTCCAAATTCTTCAGGGAAAAAAAAAGGTGATCTTTGAAAGCTGAGAGTCAGAGACATTCTCTTGCCTCAGATCGATATTCTAAAACACAGCCAGCATATTAAGTTTGAAGCCTCTCTGAAACTACATTATCAAGTTATTAGATATTATCGCGATAAAACTGGTATCCCGATTTCTCCCGATTGAGACCCACCCGGGACAAAATAAGTTTAAAGGTTTCCCTCACATTGACGAGACTTAAGATCACGGGAAAGCTTACTTGAACATAACACATAAGCACTTAAAGTTTCAAGCCGACCAAAAGATGCATTCTCCAGTTATTGCGTAAAATTCTCTAATACAGTTTTATTAACTATGTTACTAGGGAATTTTTCACCTTCAGTCTAAACCAGTTTCATCCATTTCATATGGTACATCAGAGTTATATAACCCTTGTGGGTTTAGCGCTTAGTCGTTATAATATGGTACATCAGCCATTTTTTTTTTTTAGACAAGCACTGAACTCGTCTGTCATTTAGGTTCTGTCAAAGAGGAGGAGAAGTCTAGTTCCTTGGATCAAGAGACTCCCACACCAACATGAAGACAAACTCTAGTTATTTAAGTCAAAATAATAATACTTGGAAAAATGAACATTGGCAACATGGCGTCTACTCCACTGTCATTAGCAACTTTTATCAAAAAATATATCAGAGGTGGAACTTTAAAAGCTGATCAGAGGAGGATTTTTAAATTTATCGCCTAGAAACCAAAAGTGGGAATTGTTAATATAGAATCGAGCAGAGAGCACTTCAACCTGCTAATTTTTCCCCCATGAAACTTTTCCTAATTATAGTTAACCAGGATTGAAAATTTAACAGTTGGTAATAAACCAAAATGTTTATGAACGATAGCAATGTAACACTCGAAAGCTGGATCTAGAGGCTGGAAGAAGACTCTTCAGGTCATCCTGTACTCTCGCCTAAAACACTTTTGTTATTGCCAA